CAACAAGCACAGAGAATATAATACTAAACATCCCGATTTCCAAAGAGCTTCAAATCTAATTACAGAAAATAATAAGTAAATCCAAACATCAATTATTTCTCAAAAAACCCCCAAACTTATTAAACACATCTATCTATATGTCAGGATTTCTCCTAGGATTTAGTTATGTAGATATAAATAGGCCATAGTGGCTGCCCATGAGAGGGTTTCGTAGTGAGGAAGACACAGAAATCAATGACACACCACGGTACAGCAGTATTTAATATGATAACCGATGTGGTATTATAAAAGTAGCACAGTACAACAGAAAAACTACTAGAGATTTTGACTTGATGATAATATGCCTTTATATAATTGATCATTTTCAAAGAATTTTTACATGTTAGTTCACTTTACTGCAATAATAGCCTAGCTGATTAAATGAAATAGACATCACTAGCCACTAGGTAAAGAAACAAAGTAAGACTATAAATTTCTCAGAGTTACATCGAGTAACAGTAGAGCTGGGACAAGAAACTCCTCCATTTGCCCCAAAGTCCAACGCTTCTTCCTTTTGTCTGACTGCATATCTTACCATATGACCTTGGACAAGTCACTTTGGCATCAGTTTCCTCAAACAGGGAGAACACCTGCAGTGCTATCCAAAGTGACTTGGGAGAAGGATTAAGTAAAGCAACCTATGTCAACATACTTTGGAATAAACAATTGGAAGATACACATTATAAGGCTGCTTAGTTTTCTTGGGAAAAACAAGGTGCAGGGTGCCAAAATGCTGAACAAATAAACAAACTGTACTGGATTTTAAGGCACAGAGGTATACTTAAGGTCATCTATATTTATGACTAATAAAGGCAAAAGGATCACTTCATAATTCTGTTGTAGTCCTACTGACCCCACAAGGCAAACACCAATCAAGCTGGCAAAAAATGGAATGTATTTACCTATGCACCAAATTCTAACAGTTAAGGATCCTATCAACACTTGAATTACAGAAAAGAAAGACAGGTTCTGCCTACATTTCTCCCTAATGGTAAAAAGAACAGTTTTTGATAGTCTACCCCTCAAAATTTTAATATCCTGCCTAAACCCCACAGAGTTTCATCTTTTATCCCTCAAACCTGCTCTGTCCACTACAGTATTTATAGGCACAGATAATTATTTAAATTTAATTAAAACTTCAGTTCCTTAGTTACAATGGAACATTTACAATGTTCAATAGTATAGTTAGTCATTACCATACTGGACAAACCAGATATAAGTATGCTTTCATAATTACAGAAAATTCTATTTCACAGACTTACTCTAGATACTATACCTTTATTTTTAATTACAACTCTGACCAGCCACCACAGACTTCTTAATTTTTTGTGGTCCTTCTAATTGAACCCAGAGCCTTCAGACTGAGTTACATCCCCAGCTCTTTTTCTTTCCCTTTTTATTTTTGTTACTTTATTTTAGAGACAGGGTCTCACTAAGCTGCCCAGGTTGGACTTGAACTTGTGATCTTCTAACTTCAGCCTCCTAGAATGCTGATTCTAAGTGCACACTACCACACGTGGTTAAGCCCACAGACTTCTTCAGGATAGGAGCTATGTCTTACTTATCTTTGCATTCTTAATGCATATAGCAAAGTTCAGGTCAGACACCAGACACTCGCTATATATCTAAGTGGAAATCTCAAATATAGCAGACAACCTTGTCTAGTTTCCCTTCCCCTATGCAAACTGCACACCCATCCACCCACCCACACCCTAACAACAAACAAGACATCTTCTCACATGGTAGGAAGGCGAAATAGTATGGAAGAGAACTTGTTTTCTCGTCCTGGAAGCTAACCGTATAGTCTTCAGCAATGCATTTAATGTCTTCGTCTGTAAACAGTTAGAATTAAACTCCAAAGACCGTAATCATCTTGTACCAAACAAAATACATATTCTGTCCAAATGGCCTTTGTTCATGTCAGGGAACACACTTGCCAACCATGATGGCACTTCAAATTAAATGGAATCTACTCCTAGGACCAAGCTATGGTGATCAGAGTCACTTTCAGACTTGAAATAAATGTGGAATTTTTCACCCTTATTTTAGGGTCGAATAGAGACTTAAACCTCAGGCTTAAAGATTTAGTTTCTTCCATGTGCTGAAGCCAGAACCTGATACTCTGTTCTTATCTGATCAGAAAAATAAGGCCAAGTTTTTTGAGTATATGAATTTAATGTGAATTGTCCCATCAATTTCTGCACTAGCCTTGGCCTAAAACCTGAGAAAACAGTACATAACTGAAACAAGAAAATCATCCCATAACAATATTTATGATGAAGAATATTATATGAAATGTATGTTTTTATTCAATCCACAGACTTCACCATATTTAACTAAAAGTCTTTACTGTCCAAAAACCTCCTCATAATGATCTTCACAAACAAACTTACCCACTTAATTTTAGAAATCTTACATGGGTCCAGGGATTTAGCTCAGTGGTTCTGGCACCTGCCTTGCAAGAGCAAGGTCCTGTGTCTGATCCTTGGTACCAAAAAAAAAAAAAAAAATCTTACATGGTTTTAAGGTCAGCCAAGAACAAATACAACCTGAGTTACTGGCCTGTCCTTAACAAGTTGTAAATATGGCCAAGGGCATACACCTGCAATCCCCATGCTCAGAAGTGTGAGGCAGAAGGACTGCCAAGTTTGAGGCCAGCCTGGCCACTTAGTGAGACTCAATTTCAAAATAAAATTAAAAGGGCTGGGGATGCATCTTAGCACTTCCTGGGTTCAATCCGAGGTACCAGGAGGAAGAAACCTTGTAATACGTGAGGCGACGGTGGTTCAGAAATTCTGCAATAAATTTATATGGGGTTTGTCAATTCCTCTGATATCAAAGTTGTACTCCTCAACAAGTACTTCTTATGGCATCTCTCTTAGCAAATAGGATTAACTATAACCAACAGCAGTTCTATACATTTGCACCAATAACAATAAGGCAGTAGCATTTAGTGGGCAACACTTTTTTTTGGGGGGGGACATAAAAGTCTATTGGCAGTAGAAAGACTTTCAGTATAAAACTGATTGAAGGGCTGGGGATTTAGTTCAGTGGTGCCCGCATCTGCTTCACAAGCACAAGGTCCTGAGTTCAATCCCCAGTACAAAAAAAAAAAGCAAAACTGATTGTATCTGATTATGATGAGATCAGACATTAAAAAATCATAATGTTGACTGTGCATGGTTAGTCCTGCACAGCACCTTGCCACTGGTTGTCTTTGATCAAGTGCAAAATAAATTAAAAAGCCTAATTAGAACGTTACCAAGAAAAAAGAACAAAACTCCATACACTAAGAGCTACTAAACATCTTTCACAAAAATGGGAACAGACAAATCTGTTTGTAGTATGAAGTCTACCTATGACTCAAAAACTCAAACATTGCTTCAGTAAGGAGCTTTGTGAATCTCTATGCCAAAGAACTGGGAGGAACAGAGACAGAGAAAACATGGCCCCTGCCCTCTAGTTGATCCTAATCTAATAGAAAGCCCAGAAGTACACCATAGAAAAATGACTAGTTCCATTATGAAGGTGCTAAAGAGCAGCTAGGACAAAAACAAAGGTGAGTGGGTGTCAGAGACAGAGTCATCTCAAAGGGAATGTTGGAAGTTACACGGCCAAAGACAAGAAGAAATGGGTATTTGTATATGTGCAAGAGAGAGCAAAAGAGTGTGTGGGGGGGTAGAGCGGTGAGAAAGCCTGGAGCACTATCTAGGAAGAGGAACAGCACATGTAAAGAAAACCCAAAGGTTAGACTCCATACCAATGATCACTGCATACTTAGGAAAATTGCAAACCAGCAGTTTTGCATAAGATGCATACATTTTAGTGTTAGGCCTGGTGGTGCATGCCTGTAATCCCAGCACTCGGGAGGCTGAAGCAGGAGGAGTGCCACAAGTTCCAAGGCCAGCATGAACTGCAGCCTGTCTCAAAACAACAACAACAACAACAAACTATACATTTTAAATGGACTTAGAATTTCTGCAAAGAAAATTACTTCACATCCCCACAGCCTATCACAAGGTATAGTAGTAATCAATGAGCTTAATGAAAAGATCTCTAGGATTGGAACTTACAGTTTTAACAAGGGCCCATTTCTCCGGCACAGTTAAGCTAAAGAAACACTCATATTTCTTTTGAGGTGCAGAATTACCTACTATCACCATTTCCAAACTTTGCTGCATACCAGTATCATTAGGCAACCGTCAAAAAATACTGATATCTGGCTTCCAAACCCTAGACATTCTGATTTAATTGGTCTGGTTACTATATTGGCATCAGGAATCTTTAGAGGCTTCTCAGATTTTGTCCTGCCGCGGAGTTGGTGAGCCAATGACCTAACTGCTAAGAACTTGGTCCCTGGAGTTAGACTGCAGAATACTTGGGTTCAAATTACTAGCTATATGACCTTGGGCACTTGTCACTTTACCGCTCTGGACCTCAGGTGCTTTGTCAGTAAAATGGGGATAACAAAACAACCTCAAAGGGCTACTGTGAAGTTAGACGTACATAACGTATTATCTGGCGCAAGGCCTGGCAGACAGCAAACGCTTAAACCAGGTTCGCTGTTCACTCTCATCACTAATTCGTTCTCATCTGAGCGTCACTGTGCAATGGGCAGCATCCTCCCCACTGGGCGGCAGCAACTCTACCAACCTTTCATCTGGACCAAATTCTTCCCAGAGTTGTCTCCACCACCCCAGACCCGCCCCCTCCCCCAGGCAGGCAGGAGAGCACTGCGCCGGGCCTGGGCAACTCTCAGGGCTAGGCTGGGTTTGCACAGACCCGACAGAAGTCACTCGTCACCCTGAATCCCCTCGAAATTCAGGGATGTGCTTCCGAAGGCCGGGCTCTTGGAGCACCCACCCACAGCTGAGAAACAAGCCTCCGCCGACCGGCCACCGCCGGAGGGAAGGAAAGTAGTGAGCGGGTAAGGGTCCGGCGGGGGCCGACCGCCCAGTTACCTGAGGCGACGGGCGGGGCACGCATCGCTGGGGCGGGCGCTGCCGCCGCCGGCCGCACTCGGCCTTCTGCCTCACGCGACCCGTGCCATAGGGCCTGCGCTTTCACTGCCCCGGCCGGCCGGCCGTCAGTCCTCCGGCGGTCAGTCCCTCTACCCGTCAGTGTTTCTCCCAGTACGCCCGCGGAAGACGAAGGCCGGTCGGGCTGGCCGGCTAGGCTCTGCTCAAGCAACTTCCGACTGCCAGGGGCGGTGTCGTCAAATAACTCCCCAGCTGAATGGGTCACTGCGCGTGCGCGACGCGCGGGATCAGAGACTCGAACTGGCAGCGTCAAATAATTCCCGAGACATGGAGCCGGAAGCTGCGCGTGCGCAGCTATCCCAGAAGGCCGAGCGAAGCACATTCCTTCTTTTCCGGCTAGCGGAGGGAGAGGGAGGATTGAAATGACGGATGCTTCTGCTTCATCAAGGCGCAGCAAGGGAGGCTTTCCACCTATGTCCCTGTGACTCTTACGGTGGTCTAGATTCTGCCTGTCATCGGTGCAGAGTGAGGAGCTTCTCTGCAGATTCCACCTGTCACGCAAGTTCTAGGAATTTCGCGCATCCCACCAAGCTCTCTTCCTTTGAAATGATGCCCTACCCCGGCTCCTTATTAAATGGGCACAGCATTAATTATGAACAATGCCCTAGCCAAACCAGGTATGGATTAAAAAGATGACTCAGACCTCAGATTCCGACCCCCTCATTAAAGAGCTGAGTTTGATACAAGAGCTAAGACATTAATAGTAAGAGATACTAGTTTAGCACCTGCAATGCACCAGACACTTTGCAAACAGTACTACTTTCAGTATTTTGGGTTCAACAAAGAGAACAATACTATTAGAGAAGTACAGCTCAAGTACCTTCAGAGTATAAAGGAGAAAACTTGGACTGAGAGAACAGAGGAGGGAGGAATGGTGGAATTCTTCCTGGAAGCCCTGGCCTTGAGATTGACCTTGTATAATAGGAGGGGGAGGGATCAGGATGTTGAGTTGTGCCAGAGGCACAGTTGTCTGAAAAGAGCACAAGGGAGCAAAGAAAATGGGACTTCTCTCAAAAGGAAGAGTGGAGGAAATAATGACAAAGGAACTGGTATCCTCAGAGAAAGGATAAAACATAATTGTGTCTCAGGATCACCCTCACCCTCCAGGAAAGTAATTATAGAAAGGAAGAGAAAAAAGGATTTAAAGTGTGCTAGGATTCTTTGTGGATCAAACAGTAAAGTTAAACACACTGACAAATATCTTGGGAAGCTCACTCAGTATCCCAACCACCTCTCCCCTTTCTACACAGAGGTTAAATTTAAAGCAAATTACACAGTACCCCAGCTCCCTAACAAGGGTGACAGGGAGACAAAGTCCTGACCTGTGAGCTATAGAACAAAGCACCAAGGGACACCAAGAAAGGAAGTTTTTGGAAAAGTATATGTCCTTTACCTTTCCTCTACTTAATGATTGGAATGGAAATTTGATACCTGGGAGATACAGCAGCTATCTTGAGACCTTAAGAACTGCTCCAAGAAAGATACAGCAGAAAAACAAAAGGAGTCTGCTTCTTTAGGATGCACTCAAGCATTGCACAAACCCTAAACTACCTTTTTGTTTTATGGGCTGGAGTCTTATACCACAGTGTTGTGTTTTCTGTTACTTGCAACCAGTCACGTTTCTAACACAGATTATTGAAGACCTGTAAGATATCAAATAGATAAGGGTGACAAATTAGAAGAGCAACAGGTGATGGGAATTGGAAAATTAAAGGCACTGAAGACTGGGAAGCTGTTTAAAAGCCCTTAAGATTATGAAATACCTCTACCCCGTATCTGTGGCCTTAATGCATTCCTAAAATTGTGCCTAGGGAAGTTATTAAATGAAAAATGTGCATTTCCATTAATTTAAATGGGAAAAGTGTTCAATTCCAATCTGAGGCACTCATGTTTTAATCATTTTTATTTCACAAAAATAGTGTTAAAAAAAAGCAATAAAAACTCCCACATTATTACCCTGCTTGCAGATCACTTGCCATGATCATTTGCTTTCATAACTATGATTGTCATACTAGATAAGTTTTCAATTGGGTTTTTTCCATTTAAAACACAGTAAGTCCCTGACTCATAAACATTTGAGTTGCGAACTTTCAGATATGAACAGACCGAATTATGAGAATTCATAGATGCAAACAAATAACAGAAGTACCTCACCCTAAACCTGTACCATCATTTTAAGGTAACTGTAAAAGTAAAAACAGTTTAACCACAGTATTTTTGTATATATAGTTTTTTATGCTTTACATTGTATATTTGTATCAAAAGTGTATAAGATGGGCCGGGGATTTAGCTCAGTGGTTCTGCCATCTGCCTTGCAAGCGGAAGGTCCCAAGTTCGACCCCTGGTACAAAAAAAAAAAAAAAAGTATAAGACTCACTTGTCAGAATTAGAAACAAGTCCAACTTATGAACGTTCTCCTGGAACGGAACTGTTTTTGTAAGTCAAGGACTTACTATACTAGCATTTAATTTCATCATCTAGTTTTCAATTTTTCTTTTAATTGTCACATAGGAATTGTATGGAATTTCATACTTATGGACTACAGGGTGACATTTCAATACATGTCTAAAATGTATAATGATCAGATCAAGGTAAGAACATATCTATCACCTCAGACAAATGTCATTTCTTTGTATTCTAAATATTCAAAGTCCTCTCTGCTGAATATTTTGAGATAATTCTTATCAACCATAGTTATCCCACTGTGCTGTAAAATATCAGAAGTTATTCTTCTATATAATCGCATCCCTGATTCATTAGCCACTCTCTCCATTCCTCCCTCTGCCACACTTTTCTCTACTTCTTTGATACCAATATTTTAGCTTCCACACATATGGGAGAACATGTGCTGTCTTTCTACACCTGGCTATTTCGTTTAACATAATGACCTCCAGCTCCATCCACATTGCTGTAAATGATAGAATTTCATTCCTTTTTGGCTGAATAATACTTGGATAAATATAATACATTTTCTACGTTCATCAGTGGACATGTAGGTTAATTCCATATGTTAGCCAATGAATAATGCTGCAATAAACATGCAAGTGCAGATGTCTCTTTGACATGCTGATTTCAATTCCTTTCATTACATACTCAGGAGTAGGATTGCTGGATCATATGGTAGTTCTATTTCTAGTTTTTTGAGGAGCTGCAATACTGTTTTCCATGATGTCTATGTCAATTTACATTCCCACCAACAGAGAATGAGAGTTCCACTTTCTCCACATCTCACCAATACTTGTTATCTTTAGTCTTTTTGATAATAGCCATTCTAATTGGGGTGAGATGATATCTCATTATAGTTTCAATTTGCATTTCCCTGATAACTAGTGCTGCTGAGCATTTGTCGGTTTTTTGAGATACAGTCTCACTATGTAGTTCAGGCTAGGCTTGGACTCACTGTGTGGACTCACTGTCCTCAAACTCATGATGATCCTCCTGCCTCAGCCCTCTGAGTACTGGGATTATAGGCATGCATCACTATACCTGGCTGTTGAGCATATTTTCATATATATGTTGGCCATGCGTATAACCTCTACATCTATTTAGAGCCAAAGATGATGGCACACACCTGTAATCCCAGCTCTCAGGGAGGCTGAGGCAGGAGGATTGAAGGTTCAAGTCCAGCCTGGGCAATTTAGCAACTTAGCAAAACCTTGTATTGCTGGGAATGTAGCTCAGTATGAAAGCCCTAGGCTCAATCCTCAGTACTAGAAAAAAAAGAAAATAATAATATGTAGAAAGGAAGGAAGGAAAAGAGGAAGGGAAGAGAAAAAAATATTTGCTGTTTTACTGTTGAGTTCCTTACATATTCTGGAAATTAATTCCTTGGATGAACAGTTTGCATATATTTCCTCCTGATTTGCAGGTAGTTTCTTCACTCTGTTGTTTCCTTTTCTATACAGAAGCTTTTAAGTTTGATGAAATCCCACTTATTAATTTTTGCTTTTGTTGCCTGTGCTTTTTGTTTTGTTTTTTGAGACAGGGTCTTGTTTCGTAGTTCAGGCTGGCCTTGAACTCACTATGTAGTCCAAACTGGCCTCAAACTCACAGCAATCCTCTTGCCTCAGCCTCCCAAGGGCTGAGATTAGAGGTTTGCACCACAATGCCTCGCTTAGTTGCCTGTGCTTTTCAGGTCCTATCCAAACAACTTTTGTCCAGATCAATGTTCTGAAGCATTTTCCCTGTATTTTCTTCTAGTAGTTTCATAATTTTGGGTCTTACTTTTAATTTTTGATCCATTTTGAGTCAATATTTGAATGTGGTAAGTGATGGCAGGGTAATTTCTTCTACATATATAGATACCTAGTTTTTCACATCAGCTACTCAAGAGATTTTATTGAATGTATGTTCTTGATGCCTTTGTTGAAATTCAGTTGGCTTTATATATGTGAATTTATTTATGGGCTCTCTATTTCATATGTATCTGTGTGTATGCCAGTATCATTCTGTTTTGGTTACTGTTGCTTTGTAGTATGTTTTAAGCCAGGTATTTTAATGCCTTCAGTTGTAACCTTCTTTGCTCAGAGCACCTAAATATTTTAACTTTTTCTTGTTTTACAATTTTGTTTTTGATACCAGGGATCGAACTTGGGACCCTTTTGCATTTGTGAGGCAGGTGGTGAAACCACTGAGCTAAATCCCCAGCCCTCCTAAATATTTTAACTGAAAAATAATGCAACAATGCAAAGAAAACTTATGTAAGCAATTAATAATTTTGTGTCAAATATGACTTTTACATAAAATAGAAGGTATAAAGATTCATTGCATTGGCTGGGCAGATGAGATTTAATATTAGGTGAGGGTTCATGGAAGAGAGATGCAAGTGAATCGTTTGTTAAAAGGTCAATTTTTCTGCACTCTTTACTTTTTTTTTTTTTTTGGTATCAGGGATCGAACTCAGGTCCTTGCGCTTGCACAGCAGGCGGCTAAACCACTGAGCTAAATCTCCAGCCCTACTAATTTTTTTAAATGCCTGAGAGCTTCCATTAAACCAGCAAAAAATAAAATACATATTTATACACACCTTGAGGGAAAATTAAAGACTAAACATCCAAACACTTTGAAAAAGCATTCAGGTATAATAAACTAAGAGACATATGAGACTCT